TGGCTTTGACTCGCTCTCCTCCATACAATACTCATCCAGATGCTTTGCAATTGGTCACGTAAATAAAACCCATCGACAATATTTTATCCGTACAGCAATAATAATAAATATTTACAGTCTTTTTTCGTTCGTTTGGCCATTTGTGGCGTTCAACGAACGAAAACCAATTGCTTGCATCCATTTACTTCGACCTAACATTCTTTCTCTCTCTCTCTCTCTCGATTCAAATGGAACAAAAGCTAATTTCTGTATTCGGCTGCCGCGGAAGACTAAAGGTTTCAGACTGGCCTAGTGAATTGAACCAAAAATTAGGCCAAAATGTTCTTTCTACTTACCATTTAAAAAGTTATGACGTTTCATCAATCTTCAGCTCGAAATCAACACCCATGTCTGAAAGCATTCTCACATTCAATGACCGTCACAATAACGGAACAGCTTTGAAATTAGCATTTCCGCATTTCTCACGCAAAAAAAAAATCTCTTTCATGAAAAAAAGTCCCATATTTCAAAGTTCAACGAATAAAACCACGCACAATAAAACTTTGTCTCTAACATATAATTAATTGTTATTTTTATTCAGATTTATTGAATAGTATACTGTTTACCATACATTTACTGTTTGTTTTCTTGATGTTTGTTTCATTCATTCTATACTTGTCATAATGGTTACGGCTATTGAATATTTTATTAGTCAGATGTAATTCTGAGCTTATACACAATACAATTCAGTTTCAGTTTCATTTTCTTTTTCTTTTTTTCTTCATACAAATAAAAACGTTTAAGACTAATTCCATAAAATTCCATTCATTTTGTTTATCGAATCGTTTGTCTCGTCGCACTTCATTTTTCATCTTCTATAAATGTAACAAATCAGCTTAAAAAGTTTCGATTTTCTCTTCTTGTTCTATTTCTGTCTAACGAAAATCGAGTAACAATTATTGAAAATGGGTCAATTAAATGAATTCGTTAATAATGTGTGTCACAGTAGTTTTCATTCATTTTTTGTTTGCATTTCAGGCAAAATTAGCAAATTCAGTTTAGTTTTTTTTTTCTTATTGTTCTGAGTATGAAGAAAAAGTCATGCGATCCAAGAAATAGAAAAGTGCATAATTGTTTAAAAACAATTGGCGCGGCTGAGTTTGGCATTGAGCCGTTTTGGAGCCATTCAACTTTATTATGTTATGATTAGAGCCAATGTGATTTAGAAACGGGGCTTACATATTCAAATTTAATTGCTCGTTTATTGGAATTTTATGCAGAATTTTGCCGTCTCGTTTATATGTCACATTGAATTCCGTTAGTGGTTTGGTCTTTTTTTTTATTTCGCACAAATTAAATCCACTCTTTTCGTGTAGTTGTTCGATTAATGCACGACCGTTGGAATTCATATATACTTATCAGATTGAGTTTTTATGCGTGTGAGTCATTTGGTTGAGCCGATTAAAAGGATTGCTAATTTTTTTATAGACACATTAAGAGCGAAAGAGATGGTAAAAGAGTCAGTGGGGGAGGCGAGAGACATAGTGGGAGAGAGAGTGAGTGAAAAAAACAATAACGTAAGAATCGGTAGTAAATTTTTTTTCTCACTGTTATCATTAATTACAATTTCAGCGCATGTAAATGTGTACACATAACGAGTCTGTCCTCTCGCGCGCACACATACACAACCGATGCCGAAGAACATTAAATAAAATTTCGATGCTCACATATTCAGCAATTAATCGTTGCTTTTTTGCGTTCACACGCGTTTGTTTGCTGTGTGTATATGTACCATACCGGGTGCAGGAAGTTTTTGTAAACAACCGTTCATTGCTCGCTCGCATCGACTCACTCACTCACTCACTCTCTCGCGGCCATAATTTTAATTAATAATATACAAAGCAGTGAACAACAATAATAATAAAAAAAACTTATGAAATGAAAATTACCCAAACAAAAACTACACGTTTCTCGTTTGACGAGAAATTATGGTTGATGTGTTGATCTCTCTCTCTCTCTCTCTGCTCACAGTGGCTGATTTTTAGTGTTTAATCGTTAATTTCTAGCCTGCTGTTTCTTTTTCGTACGTTTGAGCCACTCCACAGTTTATAAATTTACATAGTAATTTATATTTTTTTTTTCGTTCTTTTTCTCTGATGTTGTTGTTTGTAAGTGAGTTTGGTTTTCGTCTTATTCATTCGATATATAACAAATTTTCGCGACGTACGTTCTATTACTTGGTCTCCCCGTTATCCACTTTTCCATTCTTGGCGACTCGTTTTTCTATGTCTCAGTAGTGGCGGAATTTTGAGTTGTGAACACATAAATTTTGAATATATTTACGCAAAGTATTCATATTCATTTTATTTATTTTTCATTAGACGATTGGTGTACGTGTGCGTGTTACATTTTTCTTCTTCCAGTTTGTGTACATGTGAATATAAATGCCAATAAAATGTAACGAGTTTAGTTTTTGCTGCCGTTGCCCCGTCGTCGCTATTTTTACTCTTTTTTTTTCGTCGTATATGTTTTCTATTCCAGTAATAATTATTTATATTTATCATGCAATTTCGTTAGAGATATTTGTGTAATGTCGTATGTTCTCATTATTATTATCCTGAAAGAGCATACGCGTGCGCACGTCTCTTAGTGACTTGCTTTGTTTTCCATATTAGTGTTTCGTTCTTCGGTCGACTCGCTGTTGCTTTGCGTCAAGTGAAAACGTACTAACGATGGAATGAAAAGAACGAAAAGTAGTCACTTTAATTTGCTTCATTCATGAAGGCATGGAGTCAAGTGTTCTTGACGCATTTCCACGTTCTATTGATAGAATTTCTGATTAAGTACCCTTGCTTTTGCTTCATTTTTTTTCTTTTTATTTACATGTCATGCAATATGCCATACTCAATGAGTATTTCTCATACTGCATTGTTTTCTAGTATACACATGATTATAATGAAATGGTTGTTGTTGTTGTTGTGCCCAATGAAATTTTCTTCTTTTTTCTGTTTACATTTTTTGTCTGTTCTTATTCGCAGTTACGCACATACGCAGTTGGTGGTTTAATATGGTTACGGGATAGAAGACACTAAAATTTGTTTTTTTTTAAATATTTCTGCTTTGAATGAACTTGAACTTGAAGACTGAACAATGAACATAGAAAACATTATTCACATACCACTCCTCCACCAGTAGAGAATGTCATGGGATGACATTCCCTGCCTTGGGAAGTACTATGTGTAGGTATTTTTTAATGCATATTTTTTGTAACTTGGAAAGAAAATTTCCTTACAGGCTAATCATCTGAAGTACGACATTTCACATTTCTTCAGACTCTAGTATGACTTGACTCGACTATTTTATTAAATACGGATATTGGGTGTGTGTGTATTTGTGTGTGTGTTTGTGAGTGGGTGGGGGCGCTTAAAAGCTATGCGACACCTTATCCAATTTAGCAGCAAAACAAGCAATTCCACATTCCGTTCATATTTCTCATTTTCGGTACACCAATTTTCTATGTACTTCACATTCGTATCCATAAATGAGCTTGTAAAACGAAATTTCCGACAAATAAAATCAAAAGCAAACTCAAACATGTTTTTGCGCAAAGTGAATGCCATTTTATTTTTTTCGTTAAATTTGTTTGAAGTGAGTGTGTGTATGTGTATGCATGTATGAATGAGGTTATGCTCTGTTTAGACAACATTCACAAAATCACCTATATACTTTATCATATGACCCTTACAATAATATTTATACTCTTACATGTGATTAAACATTCTTTTTTCAATGTGTATGTGTGTGTATGAACATATGGTTTACAACATTCATGATATGTTTCGTGCGGTGTGAATATGTAAAAATATTGCTGTGATTATTCTTTTTTTATTCTGTAATTTGTGGCACTGAAAAAGGAAAAAGAGCGACCGAAAAAAAATGACGCACATTTTTTTTTCTCTCTTCCTAACATTTCGTTCTTATCTTTTGATCAATGAGTTTTTCTTTTCTCGCTTGCATTAAACACATATAAAAAGCGCTTCATATTTTTCAGCATCATTTGCTGTGCAAAAAGTTCGTTCGCTCGCTTCAAACATTTAAGATCGACATAAAACGATGCGAATCATTTTGTGACGATGAAATGTTAAAGAGTCATTTTGGAATATGAAAATGTTTTATGTGACTTAAATTGAAATTGGGTTTCCGTTTCGTCGTGAAAACGCGCGGTTTACGGCAGTCGTTGTTTCTTATCAGTTTTTAGTGGTTTTGCTTCCGAATTCGGTCTGATCAAAATTAGCACATAACTTATCATCATCACGGAGTTTTTTTTTTACTTCGAGTACTTGGTACATTGAAAACCAGCACACCAAACGAAATAAGTGTAAAATATACATAAAAACTTCGATAGCAGAACATGGCCAAATATTTTCCATGGAATCATGCCAAAAACAATGAGAAGCGTTACTTGTTGCATTTGCCTCGTGTCGTGAATGAATTTGGGGTTCATTTGGGAGGTTTTCCCTTGTCACCTAAAAAATTGAAATCTATTGGAAATTCTCGATTAAGTACCTAAATTGGAGAAAATGTCGAAGGCTTTTTTGCATTCATTTTATCCGTCGGATTCTTCGTAAAACCGCTCATCCTTAGTTCGGCTCTGGCTCAATTTTTGTTTAATCAACTTGACGATGATGGGCGAAAATTTAGTAAGCACAGAAAATTAATCGAATCATGATGAATTTTGGTTTTTAAGTGCTGCCATCAAGGCAGAAAAATGATGTAGCAAAAAAATATGCGAAACAAAAAATCATTTTCTACCGATTAAATATGCATATTAACGGCGACACGGCATTAATTGTGCGAGCACGCTAGTTCCTTTGGCCGCCGGCTGATTTGCAGCATTACATTTTCACATTGTCATCGTTTTGGTGCATGTTTGTTGAAATTATTAGTTGTGCGGCTCGGAAAATCATCTCTCACTCTCTCTCTCTCTCTCTCTCTCTCTCTCTCTCTCTCTCTTTCTCTCTCTCTCTCTCTCTCTCTCTCTCTCTCTCTCTCTCTCTCTCTATGTGTGTGTGTGTCTGTTGCGTATGATTTCAGTTAGTTTACTGCTATGCAATCAGTGTAAAACTAAACTGGCTGTTGATTAAATTCACCTGGTGGAATGTATTGAAAATTTTACTACAGCCACAGCTGCAGCTGGAATACACAGCAAAATCGTTTTCAGCCGATGTAATTATAATTTGTCAATTAATTCAAGCAAATGAGCTGTGTAATCGGCGCGCACAATGCCTATGACACACTGTGTTTCGATGCTTTAATAAATATTTGCCGAAGACTAAACAAATAGAGCTGCTGGCGGTTTTAATCGAGATGAAACCTGATTTTGTCTCGCCGATTTATTCGCGCGTGACACACGCCGCTGCTGCTGTTGTTGTTGTTGTTGCCTTTGATCCGTAATGTAAATGGATGATGATGAGACAGTCAAGTTGTCAAGAGACTAAATCAATTTTGCACGTGCAGTTGGGGACACAACCGAAAAAGTCAATTTGATTGGGTTTTAATTGAGCACAAAGTGCTTGGGCATATGATAACATTTACAGTATGTAGTTTGGCTGCGTCGACGACAACTAATTAAATTAATGAAGAAAAAAAATCCACTACGTAAGCACCTTTAATTAGTCTCGAATTTAGACAGACTAACGGCTTGAAAGTTCGTGTGTTAGCATTCTGTCGAACTTAAGTCAGTTCAAAGGTTTCATTTTTTTCCCTCTCGCATGTTCGACATGATGATCCACTCAAGAAAATTTACTTGAAATATAAAAATCGAAAGACATGCGGCTTATACAGATGCCATAACTTTTCCAAAATAAGATTACAAACTCATTTTGTCTCTTGTAATCCGATGTAAACTCAGTGCTGGATAATAATTGCACAGCTCTCGATCCATATCTGAACATGTCTCCCCCACTGTGTGTGTAGAGGCTTGCAGCAGCAAAAAAGTCTTGTTGTGCCAGCCGCCAGAGACAAGTTTGTTATGGTTAATTTTTAATGTTGAATCGGTTGGTGCGGCCAGAACGAAACTTTTTAAATCCACAAAAGCGTTGGCAATATTCTTAAATCCAGCATTTTATCGACGGTGGCACGAAAAAAAAAGACATAACACAAAATGCCAATTTCGTTTGAAAAACACTCAAAAGGGATAACCATAATGTTAGACACATAAAGTATAAGAGTCATATATTGGGCCGAAAACGTATGTACTCAAGTAATTGTTATCCAATTTTATGACTTCAATTTCAATGCCGTCAATTTTGCTGGCCTCTTCTTCTATGCCAAGCATATTTTCCAGAAGAAAAACACTTTTGAAATCTGTTTTTTTTTTTTTTTCTCTTCGGCGATGCTAATGCAACGGCATGGGATACACGAGGGTGCTTTTGTTCTGACTTAAATTGATGGGATGAACCCAGCTCAAGCGCAAAATAAAAGCGTCATTGAACGTTCTATCTGCGTGCGAAAATCCTTTCCTAAGCAATCATAAAAAATCGAGCGTATTATTGATGTATATCATGCAGCTGTATTGATGCTGGAACCAGTGTTTAATGTCAAGAGATATTTTTCCATTTATTGAAGCAGACTGATGAATCTCCGTCGTTGAGCGTTTATAACGCTCGTTAAATGCTTATTCACTTGTCTCAAATCATCAACATTTCATAGCCTGTGTATGGTGTGCGAGCGCAACGTGGCAAGTGAAAAAAAAGCCGTGATAGACGTATCGAATAGCGCGTTGTATGTCTACACAGCGAAATAGTTCACAGCTGCATCGTACCTTCGAAATTGAACGCAATTCGAATATTGAATCGATAATTCATCGCTCAACGAAGGAACATATCAAATTGAAGTAGTTGGTGCTGCCACTATTTTTTTTCTCCTTCTTCTTCGATTGACGTTCGAACAGGATATTGCAAGCGAAATCCTTGTGTTTCGTTACGTGTGAACTTAAAATTGATTTTCTGTCAGTTCAATTGCTTGAGCCAAGCCGTTGAATATTCTCATAAAGTGTGTAATCAATGCAACAGCGACAGCAGCTACTGCTGCTTCTGGCGGGCAAAATGTCGTTTTCTATTTTTCGTTTCGCCGCGCGATTGTTTTATTTTCCAAATTGATGGGTTTTCATTAATTGATTCAAACTTTATTATCATTGAAGAGATATCGATAAAAAATAATTAAACGGTGCACGAGCAGTGTAATGAAAGTGTACCATTTCCATTACGGAGTTTGCGCGTTGATTTTATTGAAAACCGTTGGATTCAAGTGTTTGTGCCTCAATGAAGTGATATCGAAAATCTTTATTGCGAGAAAAGTCTATTGCACGAACGATGCTCCTCTCTTTCTCTTTCGACCGACTGCTCTCAACGCCGAGTGTATATAATTTTGGATCACACACACACACAACAAGAACAAGAACAAAAACCAATTTCGTAAATCTCAATCTTATAATTTCAGCATTCAGTATATATCATATAGCAGCATTTTGGTCGTGGATTTGTGGTAGTGATGCCACTGCTGCTGCCGTTGTTGTTACCGTATGTGCTTTCAGTTGCGCGTACTATTTTTTCCCATAATTCTTTTCGTTTCTTACTCGTAATCTGGAAATGGTTCGTAAAGTCTAAAGCTGTTGGTTGTGTATCCGCGTGAATAAAATCTTATCAGGCTTCCTTTTCATTTGCGCGAGCCTTATCTGACGTTGCCTTTCTACTCTCGCTGTGTGTGTGTATGTGTGTGTATGTGAGTTGGTTTTTTTTTTCTCGGCATTCATACACTTAAGACCACTTTTTCACTTCTTGAAATTTGGTGGTTTTTTGTTTTCGTCGACATTTCATGACGCCTTTCTAATAACATATATAAACTCGCGAGCTCGAAATCGGGCAGCTTATCCATTTGACAATATATGGAGCAGTGTGTCTAGAATTTTACCGTATATAGGATTTTTCTGTAATGTTTTTTTCATTTTGTGTTCGCTCTCGCGAGTGCGAGCGCGCACGCTGAATGAGTGAGTGTGTATGTGAATAGCGGTGTGCATGCTGTATGTATTCTTAGCGGTTAAGCACTTCACGACCTTATTTTCCATTTGTAGCTAAAGAGGTAGTTATGCTTTATCTCGGCATGATCCAGTCGACGGTTTTTTTCTTCGTACTTTTTTTTTCTATATATCTCTCTCTCTCTCTCTCTCTCCGCCACTTTCTCCCCGTACCTCCGAAGTTTGAAAGTGCACAATCTTCTTTTGATTGCGTCTCGAGATTTACTTGGTGGAATCTTCAGCGAGCGGACGAGCGCGCGACCCAGAATATAACATACGATGCTTTCGGAATCGAACAGCATTAGGATGGAATTTTCAGCACTTGAAATCCAATTGGCTGCTGCTGCTACTGCTGCTGCCGAGGAAGTGAAAACTACTTTCGATTTTCGTTTTTGTTGCGTTCGAATAAAAAACGAACAAGAAAAAAAGAGAAACCAAAAACTTTCCGTGATTGATTTGGGACACTCTCGCCGTTCGGGTTCGTTTTTTTCTGTAAGTGTGCCATTGCAAATAAGTTTTTCCACTTGGCATTCTTTCGAAATGCCAATTCAATTTCAATTTCCTTTCTGTTCATTCTGCAACGTGAAGAAGCAGCAGCAGCAGCTCGTTTTTGTGTATTCGTTTCATTTCGTATAATCGCTTTAGTAAGCTGCAAGCAACACCCATAATACAAACACATAAATGACACATCTCCTGCAGCAATTGATTAACGTTGCATGATAGAAGCATGAGATGATGACGAGGCGGTGCTGTTCTTCCATAAGCTGTCGCTTTTCATCACTTTGAAAATCACTCAAATGAATTGACAAGATGAAAATTGTATATTTCTTGTGCGCGGAAACAAGTATCGGATACGAGAAACACATACAAACAGACAGACAGACAGACACACACTCACACACCACAAAAATCCCTTTCGATTAGAAAAAAGTGAACAACGATTTGAAATGGTTTTGAAATGACAAAACATTTGCATATTATATTCAGTCTGTCTGTTTTTCACTATCTTCACTAGATGTTCAAATATACGGCGTGCAAGTCATTGAAGATGACTAAAATCGTTTAGCCGTATCAAAATCCCATCATTTATTGAGTGACGCTTTCAATGGCAATAGACCAGGCGTTTTTTTCTCTCTCTTTCAAACCACAATATTTTATAGGCACCACCGCTATCGATATCGATACTCGAGTGACTTGAATGTATAAAAAAAAAAGTAAGCCACAACAGCCGATATGACATCAGCTAATTTAATCTAAAACCGCTGAGCACATTTTCATGTTATTGACTTGGAGTACGTTTATCGTTTATCTTTATGTTATTTCATTATCGAAACGAAGCTGAATTTGCCATTGGATCGGCTGTCGGCTGTGTGTTTTTCTTTCTCCCTTTTTTTTGTCGCACCATTGTGTGCCAGTCCATAATACGGCGTAGATTGAGTGTAAAATATAAAGAATTGTATTGGAATTTTCAAAGCCATCAGTTTGTTTTTATTGACCGGAAATTGGTTCTCGTGCATCATCGATTCGCAGACGTTTCATCGATGGTTCTCTGTTCTTCATAAATCATAAATGCATGACGGGCAAAACATCGACAACGGATAGATATTCGAAACAAGCCGAGCAATCGGCTGGTGCTTCACTTTTCACTCCATGACCACATGTAATTCGATGATTCATCGGAAAGACAAAGAACGAGGCTAGTTGGAGGAGATAGACTGTGGAGTCAAAACGAATGAACATCATTCCATCGACGACACCGAACGCAAGCGAAAATAGCAACAGTAAAAACGAGAGAACTGAACACAGAGCGAAAAGCACCGAACACGGCCACTGAGCTTATGGCTTATGTTATCACTTTGGATTGGCAGATTACCATTGGTTTTTATGAACGTTTTTTGTGAGTCTGGTTTTTTGGCACCATTTCTCAATTGACCGGTTGCGCTGAAACCGAAATGAAGAACCAAAGTTGTAACTCGTAACTATTTGAGATTCCACGAAAGCGTTGAAAAAGTCAAAGAAAAGGCAAAAAAACCGTTGGGCGCTTAAACGATGACGATTGACGGCGAATGAAACAAAAACCACATCAAATTTAATATTGTATGGAGAAATATGAGATGACCCCATACCCTGTGCCATATTTTCAAATATATTAGCCTGGGAAAAACCGCTAAATCATGAAAATGTATACGTTTTGGTGCGACCCTAAAACGACGCAGCGCAGTCTGCACCAAGAAACCACACATCAAATGGAAACCATTTCAATGTCACCCAAAAATTACTCAAAATCATAAATTGTATATAGAAATGATTCAATTCGATTCAAATTAAGACGAAAACGATTTTCATCGATTCACTTTTGTCTATCGCAGCCAAAATCAAAATATCCCCTCGTGCTGCTTTGCTGCTTCAAGTAAAACAATGACACCAATTTAATACACTTGTAATAATTCTTATCATTCTTCATAGTTAATACAATAAATTACAAAACTGTATGTTTTGTTGTTGATTTTGCTGTGTGTTTTGTTTTTATATCGGCTGAAGTCAAATTGATGCTGATCGTAGATCGAAAATTGTGTAATTTCCGTGTTCATTGTTCTCATTGTTTTATTATTACATACTATTTCTCTTCCATGTTGATAGTACAATTCTTTAATGAATGTGAGTGGGTGTATTTACAGTTACATACTTATCGTCATAATTTTCAGTTGGTTTGGTGTAGTTCTTTTTATTCAGTAAATGTATATTAATTTTCCATTATTCATGTACGTTATATTAATAATATAATAGTAATTGTAATAGTAAATAGACAGCGTAGCAATAGGAAGACGTCAATACCTGCATAAGACATGGATTACAATTTTTTTCTTCTTCTTCTCCCATTTATTTATTCAACTTACAGTGTGTGTGTGATTGTGTATTTTCTTGAATAAATGACACATTATTTCATTTTGCTTCTATCCCGTTTTTTTTTCGTTCGCTAGTAATTTTTCAACTATTTGTAAAGAGTTTAATTGTATGTTTTTTTTTTAAATGGTTAAAATGGTTGTTTTTTTTTTGTTTTATTCACTAGACATAAAGACATTTGTTGTTATCAAATAGGTGTGGTTTTTTATTTTGGGTACGGTGAAATGTATGATGCAGCTAGAGAACCATTTGATGCGAGAAGCAAAACGGAAAATAATTTCGAGGGAATGGAAAAAAATTTGATATTTTATTCAGATCAGTGTTCGCAACAGTCATTACAAATGATTTTATGTGTTTTTGGTTCGTTCCGTTTGAATCACATCGATTTTCAGATGGTTTTTTTTCAGTTATGTTAGTGTATGTTTTTTCTGTTTGAATTTCATGTGATGCCGGTTTTTCTCGAGGCCAACTCAGATTACATAATCCATTCGGTCGTCCGAATGGAATCCCGAAAAAATAACATAGATTCGAACCGATGTCAACTCGGTGTTGCGAACACTGTCAAACATGACGAAACCAAAGACCATGCCATGTTTTTTTTTTTGGAAATTGGAAACTATATAGTTTGATCTAATTGAAATTGGAACGCAATGAAATTGATTTGCTACGTATGTTTGTACCCGTTGTCTAAAACGGCACTTGGACCATTTCTAGATTAGAAAGAAGAAAAAAAACGCCAAACAAAAGCGAAAAATGTTGGTCAACGTAAAGCAAATATATCGACACGCTTTCTATTTGCGTGTCAAGATTGTAAGAGTTGAGAATAAAAACAATTCGTTTGTCTGTTTGTTTTTTTGTCTTTAAAGGACTTTACTTTGTACATGTAATCAGTATCGCTTGTGAAATCAAACCATCAATGATTGTTGATGCTAGAATCCTGGAGATTCGATCTCAATATTATGACTTAAATCAAATAAATATATAAGATTTTTTTGTGTGTTTGTTTTTTTTTTTGTTATCATGTCTACTACCTTTTTTATGAATGAAGTCATATTTTTTGCAGGCACACGATATGGTGTGTATCGTGTGTGTGTGTATGGGTTTGACTTCATTCGATTTCGAAATCGGTATTCATTGTCGCTGCATCAATCTGTTTTAATCTACTGTATATACATTCCTAAATTCGACTAGAAAAAAAAATGTGTTTTAAATATTTTGTTTATGCTTCAGTTTTGCACGTGTCTCCCTCCAATTTTTCTTTCCTTTTTTTTTAAATCCACTGGAGAGAATTCCAATAAATATGAATACATAACGATTATACACGTAAATAAAAAAAACCGTGTGCGCGCACTTCTGATGGGAAAATATACATATATAGATTAGATGGGTAGAGATAGAGAGGGGGAGACAGATAGTGTGTAGAAAGGAGAAAACGTATGCTATAAGTTTATTTGTGCTAATTAGATTTTATGATAATGAAAACATTTTACCTACCTATACATAGAAAAAAAAAAACAATTTGCCTACCCACATTAACATGGAAAATATATATCAATAGAATTTCCTAGCACATAGAATGAAGAATGTCTATGTTATAGAGGTTATTTATAGAAAAATATACTTTCTCTAAAAAGTTTATTGGATTTTCTGTTGTTCCGTTTCATTTGTAATTGATTGAAAATAGAGTTTGTTTCTTGTTTTTTCTTCTTGTTTTTTGGGTTTGGTCGTGCACCGCACTTGAACGAAAATACGTTACAAATTTCAACCCGGAGTGTATTTGTTCTAGAAGTACTTCTGTGTCATTTTAAAATTGTCTGATAAAAAACAAATACAAACAAACTTAATGATGTCGACAAGGAGTAAATCGCTTTTGGTGCAACTTGCAAAATGTTGTCGAGCTGTTTGCTCGTTTTTCGTGCTATTTGTAGCGATTAGAGTAACTTTAAACACGAAATTGGTTTTAGAAGACTGAGAATGTAGTCACGTTGAAATATCGGTTAAATAATTGAGTAGCATCGAAATTTGGCAAGGTAAAGCGAGAGACAGAGCCTAATGTTGTTTTGATTGCTCTTGTTGCTGGATAAAAAAAAATTATGAGTTAATTTCTTGATGTTTAAAAAGCAAACTAAAAGCATACATGGGCGACTGTACAGTTTTTCGGTGACACACACAAAAGCATTAAATAAATCATATCCTTCCTTTTGTATTTACTTCGCCACTGCTTTTGAAATGGCTAAAAGCGGACATTATTGATTTTCCCTGTTCGTATCATCTGCTGTTACGTTGCTAGCTGACTTCCGCAAGCGAAGCACGCAGACACCCACACCCACACGCCCCAAATACTATCGATACACGACGGTGTACGATGACGACGCGAATCGGCCGTAAATTTTTATGCGGGGTATACATTTAACACGTCTTCTGCAGACACACGCGCCAATAAATATACACCAACATTTGCTTTTGACAATAATTCATTCTTTTTCCATTCATGGTGCTGCGCTCTTTCTTCCCAATCCAGGAAAGATTCATCGTCTTTTTTTCCTTTTCGATTGCCGCATTAATTAGTAGAATTGATAGCGTAAAAATCTGCTTGAATTGTTCTGGAAACCGGGCATACATATTCAAACGGTTTGTAGGAAATAACAGCAAAAAATGTTGCTTGTTTTGATGATATTACTATTGTAATCGGCTACCTGATTGAAAGTTTTACCGCCAGATTTCCAACGAAAATGGAAATATTAACTGAATAATAAATAATTCATGGCGGAGTCATTGTTCGTGGACGCTCACTCTGTGTACACAAACGATAGCGATGACAACGCTTTCCACCTATCAACTACACACTCACTTTATCGACGTGAATATCCTTAAATAAATTCTCATCTATGAATTAATTATTTGATAATTGATGGGGCAGTGTGCGTATAAACGGTGGCCGCCTTTGTGTCCTACAGGCTACAGCCAAACGTATTGTATTTGCATTCCAATATTTCAACAAAACATTCGCTTTAACACAGCTCGTATAACAAACACACGAAGAGTGCTCTACATTAAAATTGACATATGTTAGAACATTTCGCATCGAATCATTGACATTTAACGAACCGATCCATTTCATGCATAATTTCTCAATTAAATTCCGCTCTAATCGATGGAATGTGATTTTCAATTTGCATTAATAAAGCAAAGAGAAGCTACAAAAAATTCGTTCACGTATGTAGAGTGAATAAATGCATGGAAATTCTTGTTTTCGTCCATAAGTATGATTGCCCTGCGTTAGTTAGATCAGAAAGTTCAGTTCGGTTGTTGCATAAAATTTCTCGTATGAATATTTGTGGTATACAGTAACATATAGAGAGGATTTTTGCTTTGATATCCCATAAATTCTATGTCGTTCATTTTATGTGTCTCTCTCGCTCTCTCTCTCTCTCTCTGGTGAGTGTTCATCCTTCTGGCCAGTGCAAACTTTAAATTTCACTCACATGACAATGTTATGTGAAATTCCCCAACCGCTTTTTGATCTTTGCTACTGCTACTTCGCTGCTGTTACTGCCATTCTCTTGCCACAAATCATGTGTGTGCAAGAGTGCAGTTCAGTGTAGGTCACTTGTGCATTTTCGATCTTATTTAACGCTGAAACATGTGTGAATTGCAAAAGGTCGATCACGGTCAATTAATTCTATTGATCCATTCACAGTTTCATTTTTCAAGTTTCATTTTTCATTTAGTTCGTACGTCAAACGGATATACATTGTATGTCGTGTCAAAAATATGTGCACCCTTTCATTATTTCCATTGAAGGTAAAAATAAAAGTTTTCTCTCGTCTATTTTTAGAGCTCTAGTTTAGTCATTTTTGTTTCATGTTTATTCTTGAATAAATTTTCTCTTGCAACATTCTGTTTTGATCCACACTATTCACTTTGCCCCAAGCACATTTGAACTCTTTCGGTTCCAATCTATAAATGGAATATGTCAACTGGACGTCTGTCCAAACGAATTGAAATTCTGAAGATTTGATTTATTCTGGTATGCATCGCTTTGCTGTGCAGCTTATTTCGTTGTGTCTTTTGATTGTGACGTTTTTGAATGGTTCGACTAAATGTATTTTGAGAAAGCGCGTGACCTTGAAAGCTCAAATGCTTTTCCATCTTCGTTTCGCTTAATGGCACAATGGATAGAACGCGCGAGTTTAAAATTAATTTTTAGCATCTATTCATATTAAAACAAGTGTAAAGTTCCGATTCGTGAGCGTTGGATGCCGAAAAAGTCTTAGATAATGTGCGTGTTTTCTTAATTTGAAAGTATAAAATGGGAAAAGTTGCTCAAAGTTACCGCTTGAAATGATAGCGTCGACACGAATTCATTCGGAAAATGTGCTGACAAAACAATATCCAGGACAAATGAAATACCATAAATTGTGATCTATTAATTTATTGTTCTCATTGTGTGTGCGCATCACAACGCGAGTTGAATGATTCAAATGATGTGGAAACTATTTGCACATTGAACACAGTTCAAATTTGGTCTTTGTTTTACCTTTCCGCGCACGTTTCCCATGACAATACATTCTCATTCGGTTACGAACATATTTGTGTGCACACCAAACGTACGTTCCAATTCGTAGCAATGAGCTATTGAAGGAAAAAAAAAAAACAATTTCACAGATGTTCGCAAAATGAAAGAGCGAAAACAAACCATAAATCAAAGAACCACCATCATCGCTTTTATGCGGAAAATAGTTCAAGTCTTTGCTTTGTAGCGCCAACGCCAATGTGTGGTAGAGAACGAACACTGTCATCGTTGCGCCAGAGAAAATGGCCTCCTCCACATACCAATTGTTAAATAATTACTTTTTAAAGAAGAAAAATTGCTTTATGCTCCGTATTATTCAACAACCAATCGGCTGGCAGAATGAAAATGCCAATTTTTTCCCTTCTTTTCAAAAATAATTACAAAATGAAGGAGGAAAAAAAGCTCATCAAACAAGCGGAATCCAGCTGTGAATTCATTTCCTTATCTTCTTTAAATGACGCTCAAATTCCAATATCATCGAGAGACACCGATATTTTCTAGGTGGAATCATCGACATCGCTTGGGACATCGTCTTATTGAGCATTATTATCGATTGCACTTCAATAAATTACGAAATATTTTCAATTTTGTAAATGTATATCTGTAATGTCTTGGATTGGCAGTTGATTGGGTGTAGGAAAGTGAATCTCCCAATATCACCTTCACCGTCCCGGTAATACAAGTAGTGTGTATAGATTATTGAGTCAATACTATTGACCTTCTATCGTGATTTCTTCGACATATTGTGCAATAATATTTTTGCCATAGAGATATTATAACCGTGCTCATGGGAATATATATGCCCTCTCTATTTTTTCTCCTGACACAATAACGACTCTCCGGCTATTATTGGATTTATTTACTTCGTGTGCTGCTGCATCGGAACTTATAAAATGAGAAATTGTTGTTTTATTTTTTATTTTTTGTCATTTGACGTAAAGCCAGCGATTTTCCGTTTTTATTGATTATTGATTGGGTTTGTCATAAACCTATTCCATGTTTCGGAAGCAAAGCCATTACATTAATTATACACTGATATGGTTTCACTCACCAGTGAAAATGGTAATTGGTTCAAATAACAACGTCACTATTAGAAAAATTGATAATATTCAAGCCGTCATTATACCTAACAATACCTGTAATAGTTTTTTTCTCATTATTTTCGGTGGTAAGTTTGTTAATTTCTTTTTTTTCACTCGGATTGACTTTCCGCCCCATTATGCGTGCATGTTTACACAGGACGTGAGTAATTTTTCTTGCCATTGACGTTTTATTTATGGGCAAATTAATCAACGAAACAATGTGGAAATATCCCAATCATGTGAACATTAACATCAATTGAGTGCCACACTGTAAGTGAGCGGGTAAACGGAGAGTCGGCTGTACAGTGCACACACTGGCTTAATGTGTAATAATCTCTGTGAAAGACACGCAGATATTAATAGAGATAGTTACTTTTTTTCCGTTATACGCAATGCATAAATATAGAACACGTGTACCGTTTCGTTTATTGAGTGTCGTTGCATATATGTGACCGAGGCTAATTATTTATGTGACGCTTGTAGTCTCGAAATTACAACAATGAAAGAGAGAGAGAGAGAGAAACAAATTAGCTTAATTAAGCTGAAGAAGTGGAAAAAACACGAGTGACTGGGAAATATGTCATCCATGCAATAAGTAATTGAAATTGTTTTTTTTTCGGCCAATATTTGTGTCCTTTTTCTCTGGCTCTCAAAGGGTAGCCTGTGTTTTATGATCGACGTAAAATTATGAACCCACCATTCAGCTTTGGCACACAACAATTGCAATGATATTCCGACCAAGCTTATGGTCATGAACAGTCATGAATATGAATTTGGTTGAGTTTTTTTTTGTTCCTTCGCTGGTTAATGTTTTTCTTTTGTATTTAATGTATTTGCAAACAAACAATGGAAAATGTCAATGGAAATTTTACGTTGATGTCCAGCATATTTTCATAATAAATTTTTTTTGCTAGCTGTATCATCGTTATTGTGATCCGAAGCTCGTAAAAAATTGCACAATGTCAAAAACATTCTGGCCTAACTTGCGATAGTAAAAAAAGGGTTCGCACATGATGGGTTCGTTTGTATCTCAATCAAAAGAAAAGAAAATATTTTGCGATTTGAGTTTTTTTTTTCTGTTTTGCTGAATGGAGTGAAAGATCGAAAAGAGTCAATAACTAGAGAAAGTTACCCTTTTGCTATCGCCACCGTTTATTTTTTCCAACTTGATAACAGCAATTGCACACAAAAGCCGAGATTTTTTATCATCTTCCATATGCTACTTTGAAATTCAAATGTTGGATTTTCCAATTTGGGTGCTACACAAGTGAGAGTGCCATTGTTGCGTTGCATTCAATTCCCAAAATTAGTTTGGGCGATGTGCGCTCATCTTCTTCTCCTTTGAGAGGAAGAGATGAAGAGAATAAAAAGCGGGAGAAAACATTCTACAACTGGTCTCTCTAGTTCATTGTTAACTGCGGAATATTTTTTATCTCGTTGAGCGAAGTTAGAGGGCCAGTAATATTAGCCCAACGTATATTTCATTCGTGTTCAAAGTTTTCCCAAAAATTGAATATATCTTGATAATGAGCATAAATGTAATACACCGAACTAGGTTGCCAGATGCTATTGTGTGATATATTTTCAGTTTCCGTTCAGGCCGAAAAATTTATTCATATTAAATAGACACTGTATTCATTTTTGTGCTGTCGCTCCATCTCGACATAATTTCATTTGGACTTTGTCGTACCAGTGGCTATCAACCGACCAACCAACCAACCAGTCCCGTACCCTTGCTATTTAAAAATTGTTAGATGCTTTTTATCGTCTGCCGTTCAACTTATGCTAATGGAAAGATAATGATTTTTCGAGGGCGGAACACAATTTTTCGGCAACTGTTTATAAATTCGATAAAAACCCGAAGTTTGAATTCATTATCGCACTTGACACAAAACTTGTTCGAAATTGACACAGTTAATTTTTGAATGGTTGCATGTTGGTTTCGGCAGAGCAAGAATGAAGTGATTTTTTTCTCGAGAGCGGCCATGATTTATGCGAAATAGTGGCGCTTGTTCAAAGTGACCATTTTCGAGTATCATTCGCGCGCTCGGCAAATTCTCAACATCTATACTTGTGGCTCATAAAAAATGGAGTGAAAAATTGTAGATGAAAATCCAAATATTACCACCGCCTTCGCGTACAGTGGCTTAAATCGTACCAAACCAAACACCAAGATCTGGATAATGTACACGCTGAAGACGAAGAAAAAAATGCGCAGTGCAAAAGCATTGGGCATAAAGTTCAAAAACTACTCGGTTTACATGCATAATTCATGTTTTACACAGAGCAAACATAATGCAAAAGTTTTTCTCTGCCATCGCTGTTGCTACTACAAAGGGAGGACAACAACAGACAAACCGGTGGCAGAATGTGTTGTGTGTGTGTGGAATGAAAGAAATGAAAGAACAGAGAGCGAGGTGTAACTCAATAATAGTATATTATTATTAATGCAAAGAAGATTCTGTGTTTGCATATCCATCGACAATGTGTTGAGCGTGCACACATTCATGTCTCGCAAATATGTTAAAAGCCGAAAGCTTGTTGCCGTCACGGAGAGCGAGCGAACGAGCGAACGAGCGAACATTTCGAGTGTTGAATTAGCAATTCCGATTGTTGCTGCAAAACGACTAAATCTGTTTTGTTTCGTGCATTTCGAATTCGATGCGATCGCACACATTTCCAGAAAAATAACACACACAATTCACGTAGCACACAAAAAGTGGGCTACGGTGACGATGATGACGGAAGAGCAAAAGGTAGCTCTTTTGGCTCAAAAACATATTGTTTACATTTTTTGGTGCTTTTCATATTCCAGCTCTGTGGAACAATTGCTGTTCCTGCCGAAAGTACACATATGCTGATGATGTTGTTTGCAAACGAATCCGATGCACTTTAAGTGCTCAATAGAAACATGAATAGCTCGGCAAACTCACGACAACTCAGCCAGGATTTGTGAGCGTGTGTGTGTGTGTGTTGTTGCTGGTGCTGTTGTTGTTTTGCACAATATTTCAATTGTTTTGTTTACAGTTGAGTGTTTGTGTGCAATTTCCATTTTGTAGCAAGCTCATGACAATGTTACACAAAATTTGCCGAAGCGAGCAAATCGACGAAAAATATATTTTATTGGTGATTCAGTTGAGCGTGAGACAGAGTGAGAGAGGGGATGGCGAGAGAATGAAATAGAGAGTAAGCCGTGGGCCACATGAATATAAAGCCAGCCTTTTCATTTTAATGAGTACGCACGAACAATCCCATTTTCAGGCTGGTTGAATCACTATTTTTGTCAATAATTTATGCGCATTTTTACCTCTGATGCGCCACTTCGTATCCTGATTGCTCGCTGTATCTCATCGTCCCGATTGTCCTCGTATCACGTGTCGTCCAGCACAAAGCCACACCGTATCAAATACATCTCGTTGTCAGCATGTAATTATGAGAGCGTTTATGGAGTCGGAAAATTGGGGAATGCCACAGTGAAACAGGCATTAGATTTCAAATCATTGCGATCACATTACACTCCATAAAATTTTCATTGTGTGTTTCAGCACATGGCTCATGCTGTGCATAGGCGTGCATTCACTTCCACCACTAGGCATTGCTTGTGTGTATGTGTGCTTGTGTCGAAAAGCATTCGCCATTTTTTTGTTCCAATTGCCACATAAATAATCCATTCAAATTATTTGGGAATATATTCTAAACGATTTGAAGCCACATTTTGAACGTCGAATTCATTGTGGTGCTGTGCTCCTCGTTCGGTTGTTGGAAACGCGACGAAAGCTAAAAATGAAAACACATACCGTACGATTTCATAAATATTTGAGGTGGTTTTCTTTTATTTTGCTTTCTCTCTTCTCTCTCTCTCTCACACACACTCTTTGGTATTCATTTTCACTACATTTACAGTGGTGAAACGGGGGAGAAAAAGTTCCACAACGTACGGCGTAAATAGTTGCCGCCACCGTTATCGTCGTCGTCGCAATCGTTTTACTTCGACGAACGGAAGCTGACGCCGTATTTTGTCATGCTGTCGTCATTCCCGTATATAATTCGCGAGAGAATGCTTGGGTTTCAAAGTGTGCTGTTGCATTTTTAATATAACCTGCTTTCTTTCTTTGTTATTTTTTCAGTCGCTCGCTCGCTCACTCGTCCGCTCCGTTGTTTGTTAGAAATACATTAGCGTGACCTCGAACAATCCGAGCTCAATCGCTCCTATTCTCTTTGGCTACAGCTCCCATTCGATGCCATCCCGTTCCAATGTTTCCAAACACATGACCTTTTCAGCAGCAACACATTTAACCGAAACAAAAATAGAGCCATCGCGAACTTGCCGAGATGTGAACAAACATGAAACTTCAAACACGATGGGAAAATGATCACGACCTGTGTGTGAATGCAAATTAGGGCAGCAAGGGAAAAAAGGGAAATATGTATAAAAAAAACTCACTCTCGTTCTGTTCGCGGAAAGAAATATGAATGTAACGAGTGTAGTGCAAAACGAACGGTACACTGCGCTCTCTTTCTCACTGTGAGTCTCGTTTAGTGCACAAGCTCATATACATACGGGATCTGTTACACATCAACCTACAATTATTTCTGTTGCTCTACATGCTCATCCATATCCGCTGCAGCTGCTGAATGCTGTGCATTCTTTTTATAGTTTTGGATCAGCTATTTTTGTACCTGGATCAGGTCAAATTACGTTGTAATTTTTCTCTCTATTTTATTCTTCTCTTCAACGTCATAGTAAAATGTCTTTCGCGAACTATCAATCAATTCTAACCGAAAAATTATTGCATGCAACCTGAAACGAGCGCAGCGTTAACCTTCTTTTTTTTGCGCTCACTCTCGCTCTACTGCCAGATTTACGCGATTTTAACTCCCTGGGTGGAGTGTATAAGATTGTTTCCATGGGTTAGCATCATACATTTCGAAAAATCAAAAACAATAACTGCTGCAAACTTTTCTCTCTTTTGTATTTACTATTCTCTCCATGTCATTATGCTATATATATATTTTTTTGTATTCTTTGTTACTCTTAAACATTATTAAAAATTCAAATGTACATTATTTACAACGACTTAACTTTAGACATTTTTCATATATGTGCCCGTTGTTGCTTTTATTCTCTTCTTCTTCAAGCACATTTCTTTACTGGAGCATATACACACAGATTACACACAAATAATAGCCACACATATATATATATAATATCCTTGGTTTTGTTATTGTTTAGCGCCGTTTTAACATCAATTTCACGAAGAAGTGTACATGGTTTTAGTTTTCATCATACTTACTGACTCTGTTTTTGTGTGTATTCAATCATGTCTAACTACGAGTTCTTCGGAAATCAGGCACAATCCATAAATTCTGCAAGCACAATTTTTTTTTGTCGCAACACAACATTTGCTGACTATTATTTATGTGTCGATAGTTTTTTTTTTCTCCTTTGTTTACATTGACAGACATTTATTTGTTTTTGTTTGCAAACGAGTTTTCTATGCATTTCTTATTTGCTTCTTATTTTATTCATCTCTTAAATTTTTGTTCTTGAGTTTTTCTCTTAATTTCAATTAGATTTTTCCCCCAAAAACAAATAGATTTGTTCGGAGGTTTCGTCATAACTTGCAGTTTATATATATTCAATGAATTGCCCCACAAAAATTAGAGCAATATCAAGAGATTTTTCGTTTATTTGATTGAATCAACTATTTTAACCAATCGTTGCAAAAAATAAAGTTAAACTGAATTTATGATGGCTCTACCACAAAACCACAAGCATTTACAAACTGTTTACTGTTTTATATTCTGTTGTTGTTTTTTTTTTTATTAAAAAAATATTGTTTACTCTACTCACTAACATTTCCTTATTTCACTCATTTCCAAGCGTTGAAAATCAGTCTAATTTGATTCCCAAATTCTCGATTTGATGTGCCCCGCCCGACTGAAAGCTAAACAATTTCCTCTTTGGCCCAAAAACATTCAGCTCTCTCGTTAACTCTCGTTTGTTTTCATTCCGCTGATTATGGCATGGAGAAGGAACGTAGAAAATTTAGCAAAACTATAAGTAGAATTGGAAAATTTAGTGTAGTTGCTGCAACACGAAGCCTATCAATATCGGCTCGATTCGATGCATTTCCAAGGGCCGCCATGTCACTTATCGCCGGCAATTGGGTTGTCGTTTCCACTGTATCGATATCAACTGTAAAGTGTAAATAGAAAGAAAGAAAAAACGAAAATGCAATTAATTCGAATCGATCGGCCACCAAATCATTTTATGCAATATTGAAATAATTAAATGCAAAAGTTTTAAATGATTCAATAGTTAAATGGGAAAATCAACAGTGGCACATACTGTTTACTTTCCATTTTGTTCGAATAAGTTTTAGTTAATTGCAGTTTTCCATTTTAATGACGTCCATTTCGGACGTTGTGCACGATTGATTTCGCACCGAAGCATCGAGCGGCATTGCATTCCATTCCATTCAACTCGAAAATCCACTTGAATTCCCACACAGTTGAGTTGCTCTCTGTGAAAAATTCTGTTTGCTTTTACAACGAAAGCCATTGAATTTGATTTGCGATTCATTTAAATGGATTCGATCATATATCATGGCCGCTGGGGATTGCAAAATCAACAACCAGCCAAACTCATTCTCATTCACTCACTCTTTCTCGCTCTCTCCCTCTGGATGAACTACTACACTTGTTGGTGCCCGGATGGCCGAATTGAAATGCTATGCAAATAAGAGATATTGCACTTTCTTCTTGGAAAATGGCCACGAGCGAGATTGGAGAATTTCATGAATGCAAAGTGGAATGTGCGATCACTTGTCATGACAAAAGGGTGAGAGCTCCCTTTCTCTCTCTCACTCTCGCCCTCTCGTTTCACATCTCGTTTGCATTTTGGGTTCATGCTCTTGGTGTGTGCAACACATTGAACTCGGGTACAAAATTTAATTTATTATTTTTTTTTTCAATAGTTTTCACATCGTGGTCCATCGGCATCGTTCGTCGATTGAGACATAAAGTCACAACCTCTGCTCTTTCATGCTAAAGCATAAACATTACATTTTTGCTTTGCCTGTCGTTGCGCATCGATTTTCGATGCTGATATTGGTTGACATGAAGCCGTTCGAATTTTTTCCTCCCTTTCTCTCTCTCTCTCTCTCTCTCTCTCTCTCTCTCTCTCTCTCTCTGGGTGTCATCGATTATTATGCTTGACATGACACGGCGCGCATCCAATGCACGATATCGCATTAGCTTGCGGAAGAGCACTAGAGATATTAAAACTTTATACTGTTTCTAAGACTTAACTTTATTTGAACATGTTCCGATCAAAATTTCTTCGTTTTCTTTTTTTCATGGAAAAAGACGCATTAGGGACAAATAAAAGTTTTGTGAAATTGCATGCATGCAGAACTCTAATGCACATAATTTTTTTTTTTTTTCGTGGAGGCGTGTACGTTTTATTTTTTGCTTCATTCTTTTTCCGAGTCGGAAATTCCGACAATGTTTTTCTTGCGACAATTTTATTTCATATCACATGTTCAAACTCCATCAAAACGTGTTCCATCCAACCCTCTGTTCTAATGGGTTTAGCGAATTTTCATCAATTCAAAATTTGCATCAAATTTTCACAAACATTGTCGCTTCCCATTCGTAGATGATTGCTTTTGTGTGTTGGATGTAATGAAATGGAACCACTCGGTTTTTCGTTCGTTCGTTCGTTCGCCGGTTAACATCCAACCAACTGTATTCCATGTTACCAAGAGATCGAGAAAGTTCATGTTTGGAATTCACTGTAACACACGTATTCCGAAAAAAAAAACTACCAGGGAAGATGATAGAAATTTAATGAGCTTTTATTCATTATTTTATGTGAAAAATTTCCGGGTTGAATTATCGAGCTGGCGAAGATTTGTGACATGAACTTCGGGTAAATAGTAACATTCTCATGGAAGAAAAATTTCTATTCAAATAATATTGAGCTCATATAATATATTTTTCGTTTTGTTTCGTCCGTATTTTCTTCTGAAACTACCTTGATGTTCTACAAAACTCAAATATAACATCGAAAAAGCATATTTGTAGTCATGCAAGATGCTCCGATCACGTTCACTGGCACCACCCGAGAAATAACACGAGGGCAAAAAAAAAAACGGAATAAAAAAATACTTTTATGCGAATCCTCCGAGCAGATGAAGCCAAAGGAATTACTACGTGCTGCAAGTACATCCACTTTTTTTGTCGATATCTGCTCATGTTCTTAGTTTGTTTTTAATACGTTATAGTTTCTTCATCGAAGTTTTCGAATCGTTGCGATGAAAGAGGAGAGAAAAAAACATCCACAAACACACATACACATAATTCAATGTAAAGTGTGTTTTTGCTGGGTGTGAAACGAAAATTCAAATTGTTTCTCATTTCTCCAAAGTAAATTCATCAATGATTTGTTCAAGGTTTTGAGTTATTGCCTCATGAAAAGCGTACTTTCCCTTTGAATATGCAAATAACGACGATAAAAAATCTTATTAAGCGACTATTATGCATCATTTCACGTTTTACTCGTTGTGTTTTTTTCTCGTTTCTTCCTTTTTTTACTGCGCTGACTCTCCTTATGCAAAGTACGGGTACTATTGTTGGCGTATATTAACCAGTGAGAAAAACCGCAGCTGTGGTAGTGATAATTCAAATGTGCAGTGCGCGCGCGCGCTCAACAATCCTGCCGCTTAGCTCATGCTACGTGTATGTGCGCGCACTCAAAAATACTCTCTGTTTTCATAAAGAATCTGTAGCATGAAACATATCGCAAACACACATACATGCACGCCGAGTATGTGTGGCTCGGGCGATATTCCCATAAGAAATGCGCGCTCAGCACTACTTGTCGGCGAATGGAAGAAAAAAAGACGGAAAATTGATGAAATTCTAATTTTTCTGTGTAAAATAATTTGAAGCGAGATTTATTTACGATTCATAAACATTTATTCCCGTATGACTCGTCATCTCATGATATGAACATGTTGATGGGGCGCAAAGTGTAGACGAAAAAAAAACAAACCTATGACGATGACGTACAGAAAAAAGCAAAGCCACACTTTTTATTTCGTAGCGCTTCTTACAAAAGAGCTCGTTTTTTTCTATTGAGCGGACACAAAGTGAAAAAAATACGATGAAAACCCAGAGTCAAGTGGAATATGATATGAAAACGAGGAAAATATACCAGTATTGATGTGCTTTTTAGTGTGTACTCGATTTTTCAGGTTTTTCTTTCGTTTTTCTCTTACAGCTCTTAGCTGCTCTCTTTTTCCGTACCACCCACTTGATATTATTACATACATGATGGCATTTTTATTCACATAAAACTAATAAACATAAAATTGGAACAAGCTACGAAATCTTGCACAACAGAATATTCTCCGTCTCGTCTACGGCTGACGTTCAATGTAATTTCATTTTTTTTCTTCTCTACTAGAGCTACGCATATTATTTTCTCATATAAATACATTTATGCAAATGGTATGCGCGTGAGCAGGAGCACTGAATACCGTTTCGCTGGATTATTCTAACGATTAAAGATGTAGTCATGCGTTCATTGCTTCGATTGCATATGAATCGGCGATACGATTTCGGAATCACATCATCAAATCGAACGAAAGCAATCGCAATTTTGCGACATTTCCAAATATATACATCGAAAATTGAGTGAGTGAAAGAGCGCGAGCTAAAAGCTCTTCAATCCCCTATTGGCAATCGAATTGCTTCATTTTTTCTACTTCGCCCGCATACATTCATTGAGTCGAGTGTTGAAAAAAAAAAAATCGAACAAGAAGTGGATTTCGCATTGGAAAATAATTCAATTTCTTTTCTTCACGTTTCAACGGTAATGGTTGTGGCTTTGTATAATTTTCTTTAGGCATTTTCCACAGTGAAAATTGACGGGAATTAAATTATGAAGATTGCAGTTCCGTGCGGTAAGTAGGAAGCTATCGTATCGGGCGTGGAAAAATATGTCGAAACTTTTATTTATTGCGACGTGAATTTGATGTAAGATATGACACTTCATTGATTTTATACACACCAACCCGGAAGCTGGAGAAGAATTTGAAAAAAAGTCACTTTTATTCGTTGGCATTAGATCATTCAAATGTTTGGCACGCGCGCGCGTAGCTGTCAGCGTGTTGAGTGAATGAATGAACGCGCCGCTCGTCAATGCTAATCTATTTATTAAAATGGAGCAAATGGAGTCGAATGATACATAGAAATACGTTTAATGGGCTAATGAATAAATTGCATTCATCTTTGTACTTACCTTTCACGGAGTACGTTTTATAGTCCGCATATTGTTCGCCGTTGGATTTAATGCGAGCCGGAATCGTTGCTAAACAGCTGATTTCAAGGCGACCATTCAGAGCGTGTAGTTCAGATACCTCGATGCTTAATTGACTACTCGTTGCCACTAAACGATGTCGACTGTTGTTGGCCGGCTTTAGCGAGCCCGTTAGGTCGTTGGTGTGCCGTCGTAGCTTGCGATGTGGTGAACGATGTGGATTTCTGCAAAATGATACAAAAAAACAACATTCGGAGAGTTAAAACTTTTGCGTCATAAATGTTTCATGAAAATTATCCGCTTCCCACGCGCTGTGTATGTTTGTGCGTGTGCGTATGCCATTGACGTAAGCTCTTGACTTTGGTCTACTCAAGAGGATTTCTCCTGGGAATATGTCATTAAGTTTGGTGAAAGCTAAGGCACAGAATTTCGATTCATTCATCATTTATACTTTTGTAGAATGACAAAAATGTCCAATCGGTTGAACGCCAAAGCGCGCCCCTTCTAATTTTGCCGTTTTGTAAAAGCAAATCAAAAGACAGCACAACGTACCGGCAATTGTACGAATGGTTGCATGCTGTGTTCAAGTAAACAATCTCATCACAAATAATTCATGCTGCAAAGTTCGTTTCGGTTTGTTTTTTTTTTCTTTTTGGTACTATTTTTAGCTATCGCCTCACCACCAACACGTTATGCCATCAATACCATTCGAAACCTCAACCGAATTTTCTTGGCACCGTAAGTAAATTATGAAACACGAAACGGATTTTTCCCCTTCTGCTCCTTCCATGTCATACTCTCGGACATGCATTCCGATAGCAAACATGAAATGTACCCATATAAATGCGATTCATTCGATAGAACAAAAGTTGAATGTTGATTTGACAGCTTTCTAGCGTTTGCCAAAAACTGACGGAATATTGGGATTTATTATTTTGCGTCTGAAAGTTAAATAAATCATCGGAACTATTTACATTTGGTTTACGAGCGCAAAAACAACGCCGAGAGCGATTTTGGTTGTTTCGAGACGGAAAACTACTACACTGTTCGCATCTAAATTTTGTTTTATTTTCCATCCAAAAAATTGTATTCATTTGTAAATGACGAAACATATTCGCACGGGTATTCAATTGCATTGTGTGTGTGTGTGGGTATGTGAATAAGTTTACAAGCCGCTTCGAATATTACATCCATTTTCAGTGCAATTAATGGACTGAGTAATTAAACCGCCAACTCTTGCTTGCAATTCGTTTGTTGTACATCAAAAACTTTTCTCGCACGGTCATTCTGTTGCTTGCTCCACCTTCTCACGCCCGAATCTATATTTCATTTTCGGTCAGTTGATTAAATGCATGCAAACCGTTAAGCGTTTTTTGGTTTGAAAATTAGTTCGGTTGATTCAACCAGTAGAAAAACTTCATTTCCTGAGGTAGCGTTTCAGAAAACGTAATTCGGCCCACCTACGATTGGAATTGTGAGCCGGAGAAAATCACCGTTGAAAAGTAATTTCGGTATTGTTTTGTTTTTCGGTTGTAAGACACGTTTAAATATGAGCACCAACAATCAACGTTCGTTGCCGAGAAACGCCGAATGTAGAGCAAATTGGTGTGCAAAGGTGGAAACTGTGGGCACAGCACACAGAGGTAGAAGTTAATCCGGCCCAGGCTTGACAGGAAAAATACGAAAAAAAGTCATGCCGCTCGAGTTGCCAGTGAGCAATATCTGACAAATACACGTATAAATTTCGATTTTTCGACCACTTGTTGCGCGTCGGTTAAAGGGATTTTCGATGGTTATTTGTGGGTGAAAAAAAAAATAACATCTCAATGTCAAACGGAACATATCGATAAGCAACAATTACTTAGCGTCTGTGTTAGATACGCACGCATTCGCATTTCAAAGAACAAAAGAGAAGTAGAAGGAAAAAGTCTGTGTACACATCAAGCGATACTAAGCCAACAATGAAAATCCCAAGGAAAATGTTCAGTTGGATATAGTCGGAATGTAATCGAATAAATAAATACATTAATCTGAACGAAACGAACAGCGAAAGCCTGTCGAAGGAAGCAAAAGAGAGAGGAGGATAAAGAGATGGTGATGAAATTATTTGATAAGAATACATACGCATCGAAGTTAGACGTGCGTATCGCTATTGATTTGGAACAGTAGCGGCCAGCATTAGGCGTACTGAATAAGAAGGCAAATGTACACAACTATGGTTTCGTTCTACCTGAAAATGACTTGTAAATTTGTAAAACAATTTATATTCTTGCGGCGCACTTTTCCACCACACCACAAGAACTTTCGTCGAATTACAAAAGCACAACACGCGGCGAACGATTGTCGACGAAACAATGAAAAAACAAAAGTTGTGACGAACAACGACAGTTTAGGCTGGTTTTGCTAAATTTCGTCCAACGGCAAGGATTTGATTAAAAACATTATACGTGGGACGACAATGAATTCATTTGGTAAACAATTCTGCAGAAATGGAATATTCTCGCGGACTCGAAATTCGAGACGACTGGAAATGTTTGCTGTTTTCAGCTTCAAATAAAACCTAATCAAAATGAGTAAAGTTTGTGTAATTAAAAGCCTTTTCCGAAAATGAAATTTGCTTTTCGTTTTTTGCGTTCACTGAGTAACCTGAATATATCGTCAGCGAATGGAGGCCTAATGCATGGAGAACAGAAGATCTTGCATTGATTTGTATTGGGCCATTTTTTGTTGTTGCTTTTTAATTGGTGTAACTTTCTATTGTGGCCTGTCAGACTTTGACTTTATGGCCAAAACACTCACTGAATATATGGGTCAAATACTGCACAGATAATTAAATTGTTTATGTACTTGTACATACCCTGTGTTTATTACGTGCCGGTTTGACAATTGGTCGGCAACACTATGATTGATTCAATATATTTATGCTCATCAATACTGTGAGAAACAATAAATGCGCTGTATTGGTTGACATGAAACGTCGTTCTGTTTCTTCGGCGCATTGAAAGAATGATTAAATACAAAACCTCCTTTAAAATTTACAAATCGCCAATAAAAATGACAAAACGGCAATAAAATTGACAAAAAAATTCAACAAAATTGACAACAAATCGAAATAAATGTAACAAAACAAACAATAAAATTAACATTACGTTCAATGAAATTGCCAGATTGAGAAAATAATTTTGATAATATAGGCAATAGAATTGTCAAATTAGAAAATAAATCTGACGAAATGGTTACAAAATTGACATTTTTTGCAATAAATTTGACGTAAATTTATCTATTTGGTGCTTGCTATTGTCAAATTTATTGCAAAAAATGTCAATTTTATACCCATTTTGTCAGA